AGAGAGAGAGAGATGCCTTAACTTTTTTGTTTTGTTTTTAATGTAGCCTTTTTTTAAGAGTGTGGCAGACACCCAGACCTACCTAGGCGGGTGCCTTGGACATGCCCGCCTAGGTTGCCCTAGGCGGCTGGGCAGCTGATTTTTCAACCTCGGTCTCAAGTGTGTGATTTTACGTATAATGCTCCCTTATCACTTCATGTATGCTTCTTGGGGTGATCTCTGCATAGGTTTTTGTGACCCATGTAAGGTTATCCTCTCTTGAGAACCATGTAAGGTTATCCTCTCTTCCACATTTATGCAAGGACTAGATCAATATGAGGCACTGTGCTTCCCTCGTTTGTCCACTTCTTGTACGGAGAAGTTGCCCTGATTTCCCATCAAAGAAATTGGAGACTTTTGAATTTCCCATACCCGAATGTCGTATTTTTTCTTCTCCAATTATGTCATTTAGAGACCCTTCACTCAACCAAGGATCATCCCAACTATTTGGGGTTAGCTACGTGAATCTTGTTCCACCATTCTGCTTTATTAAGGGCCATACCATCAGTAAGACCATAAATCCCCATATCTTTCTCACTACTTCCAACCATGTCCGTTTGGGCGTGCCCCTTGCCCTTTCTACTTGAATTGACTCGCACTTCTTAACATGTGCTGTATTGGGTTTACACTGCATATGACCAGTCCACCTAAGTCTACTTTCTCTCATCTTATCACTTATTGAAGCCATACCTAATTCTCTCGAATGTATTTATTTGGGATTCTTTCCTTTCTTGTCTTGTGACTCATCAATCTCAACACCTTCATCTCGTTTATACTCATCATATAGGATTATAACATAGGTTCATGATTCATTATAAGATGTGGCAAAGTTTTATGCTGGTTGCATGCCCATAGCAACCCACCTCCTTTACCCAGGCCTTGGATGGGTTAAGGGAAAGTTTAAGGTCCTCACTCTTCTTAGACTATCATTCAACCAAGGATCATACCAAAAATTAATTTTGCTTCCATTGGCAGACTTGTAATTGGGTGCTTGTTTAATGTTTGGGAGTGTCTCATGTACGCTTCTCCAAGCCCAAGAGACAGATCTGAAAAATTCTTGAATTCCAAATGTGGCTTCTCCAAAGGTACTTCGTATTCATTGGTTCAACCCATGGGAAGGGGCAGCTTTTGCTGACTGCTATTGAAGCTTGGCTAATAAGGTTCAGTTGATATCCATGCTTGGCCAATAATGCCTTGATTTTTTTTTGAGAAACTGTTATGGCCTTGTTAACGTCCAACGTGGCTGCATTCCTAGGTTTAGCTTGGTGTTGTTGTCCGATGTAGTCTTGATATCCTCGGTTGGCATTCTTTCTGCTCATGATTAGTGTCGTAAGTTTGCTTTTTATGTTCACGATCTTGAGCTTGGGTGCTTCATATGTGATATGCCTATGATAATGTGTACTTTTGCACACCTTAATTGGTTAGCGCTTGACGATTTGCAACGCTTTGTCCTAGGTTCAATTCCTACTAGGGTAGGGGCCCTCTCCTCACTGACTCACCCAAAAAAAAAAAGTGTACTTTTGCACGTCTTTTTAAGAGACCTCATAATTGTGCTTGCAATGATAGAAGAACTCATTATTTAGCCCCAGTAGTGGTTCTTGTTCCTTTCCCCAAATGTACATTTTATGTTTGAATTTGGAGTTTAGTGTTTACTTATTGTTTGTGGCACAAATAATGAATTAAGGGCATTTTTTTGGTTCAATGAAATTGTCTACAAAGCTTTAGAAATAACTACACTTTTCTCTCCATACTTGTATCACATTCTATTGAATTTAATCATTCATGATTTTCACATATGAATTGCCTGCAACTTGAAGAACAAAATTATCAAAAAAAAGTTGGAGAATGAACTTGTATATGCCTAGTTTTGCTCTTTTATGTTATTTTGCTCATACTGTTTGTTTATTTTGCAATAAAAACGTGAAATTTTTTGACTTCTTATGACTTCTTTCAGGAAAAGTTTTCAGTTTTATCGATAAGTAACACCAGTGGTGTAACTGATCCTCAGTTAGGGCTTCCTACCCCTGACCGCAAATGTTCCACATGTGGTGCATCTGATAATCTCAATTGTGATGGTTAGTCCAAGTTAGCTATTTGAATATGCGGGTTCAATTATTTTCCTTATTCGGGATAGTGGGGCTTGGTTTTTGGCTATTCTAAATGAATTTCTAATTTACAGGTCACTTTGGGGACATTGAATTGCCAGCCACCATATATAATCCATATCTTGTTCATGCACTTGTGCAAATTTTGAATAATATTTGTCCAGGGTGCAAATCAATTCGACAGAAAAAGGTCAACTTGTCCTCTTTTCAATATGGAGATTTATTATCTATATTGAGTTTGTCTTTATCAACAATTTACAAAATTAATATTGCAAGGTGAGCTTCTTATATGTTTTGCTAGCAGAGCCAGTTCGATCAACAAAAATGAAAATGAGTTGGATTGCTATCATTGTATTTTATTATAGCTTGCTTTTTTTGAGAAGTATGAAGCATGTTATCATTCATCTTTATCAAACAATTTCACACTCTTGTAGGAGCATATTACCCATTTATGCCCTCAGGAAAATCTCATTATAAGAGTATTTTTAGGACCCCAAATTTTGGGGGTGTATTCTCCTCAACATAGAGAGCAGCTTCAAAAGAAATATAAGGAAAAGAAAATTAAATTCAAACGCACTCTCTATGAGCCCGAAAAAATAATGTCCTTAAATTGAATATGGAACTTGCAATTTGTATACAGCCAGGTCTAAGTGTTAAAGCACTCAATTCCCTTCTTTTTCTTTTTAAATAATCATTTGGCGATTCTTTGATGGACCCCAAAATTTTAGTTCCAAAAAATTCTAGCTTTTGCACCCGAGGGTGTAAGTGGGGGGTGTGCTCTCAGGAGCATAGCAAACACACTCTTTATCTTTTATTAACAAATTCTATGAGAATTAATTTAAATAAGAAACAAACATTGTGAAAATTCCCAGATTAGATTGGATATGGATACACGAACATGGCAGGAGGAGTTATAGTGGAACATGTTAATTTGCAAATGGACAAAATCCTGATTTCTTTCTCAATCTAAAATGAGCCCAAAATTGAAGATCTCCCTCTATTAAAACCCTAATTGGAATTCTCTCAACATATGAAAATCTCTCTCACTTTCTGTCTCTTTCTCTCCCTCTCTCTCTCTCTATAAAAAAAAAGAAAAGAAATTGAAAATATCTCTAAACCCCAATCTTGCTTTTTTTTCTAAACCCTACCCTAGTCTTTCTTTGTCTCTCACATCAACACATAGTATATGTAAATGAAAAGCAATCTTGCCCTATCTCACCCTGTGCTCACTCACTAAAATTTTGCAGCTCGTATCTCTAACTCTAGGGTTCTCGCATCAAAACCCTAGTTCCTCAGAAGCTGTAATTTCTCTCGTCCTCTGAGCGAAAAAACCTAACTTTTTGGAAATCTTACAAATTTCTCTACGTTTATTTCACCATTACTTACCACGTTATTCCGCTTTTCTTCCTTGTGCCCTACTTTAATCCTCATTCTCCATTATAATAATGTCTTCCTCTCATCCATTTTCTATGGTCACTAATGTTGGGTTTTTATGGCTATTAAAGGCCTCATGAGAGCATGCAATCATTATTTGACATAGTGGAACAAAGAACTCTAGTTGGAGTATGGTCTAGATGGATTGAGATTGGCAAATGTTGTTTGTTGAGACTCTGATTGAGCTTAACGAGTTAGGTCAATTGAGTTACAAAACCCTAAATACTTAGGCATAGAGCACAACCGATAAGGTTTAGCAAGATTATCCCTTGATGAGGTCGGACTGGCTCAGGATAGTAAGCCAAGGGACTATGTGGGCCCTTGTGTGTGATTGGTAGGTTTGTAGGGACAAAGGCCAAAACCTCCTCTGAAACCATCACACGACATGTACACATGGTAGCCGTATCGGGAAGTGAATCATTATTGAGGGTGATACGTGTACCTATGCAAGAGATAACTCCCATATGCACCATAGAGTTGTGTGTGCACATGTCTGTGTAACCTTGGACTTGTCACCAGGGGGAACCTGTAATTTATAAACTAAGATTGTGTCCCCTCACCTATTGGCTAACTTTAGTAGCTCAATCATGAAGCCCTGCGATGTCCTGTGGGTCATGGGAACTGCTGGGCTAGTTTGAGAAAGTGGGTGTAAATTAGAGTCCATAGTAGAAGATGGAGTGCTTCAGCAAAATTAAGTGGGTGTAAATTATAGTCCATAGTAGAAGATGGAGTGCTTCAGCCAAATTAATATTTCCTTAATATAGTTGGATTTGAATCCCATCAAATTAATATAGAATTAATTAATTTGACCTTAAATAATTTTTAGATTAATAAAATGAATTTTTAGAAGTTGTCAACATTTCAAAAAAAAAAAATAGAATTTTTAGAAGTCTGAGATTAGGTTAAGGAAGCTGATGGATAAGGTTGTAGCACATTTATTTTAATCGTGTTGGCTAATCTAATGATTGTAAGGCTAAGATCTCTCACCCCACAGGTCTCCTATGATCAATGGTTTGGATCTACTCTCCATAAGGATAACTAACCCTAGAAAATCCTAGCCCTAAGTTGAGTCTATATATAGCCTCTTTGGGGGTCCTAATTCTATATACATTACATCTCTCTCTCTCTCTCTCCCTCACAAGGTGGCATGCCACCGTCTCTTTGATCTTTGATCTCTCTCTAGCCTCCCTCATAGTTAGAAAATATTTTGTAAAAGAAAAGAGGGCCACGCCCCATATTCTAAGAGTTTAGAAAAAGGGTACGCCCCACATACTTAGGCATTGAGGCCTAGTCTTGTTTCTAGTTCCACCATTGCTCTCTGATTTGAATGGGTTTATACCTAGGCTTCCCATACTTTGAAGATCTGAGATAGACCTTGATCCGGTGTGCCATCGGAGGAGGAGATCCAGAGTGGGGTGTGCAAAGTTTAGTTGAGATAATTTTTGCTTATTGTTTTTAAGTTGTGCAGTTTGCGTTTCTTGTTGTGCAGTTTGTATTTTAAGTTGTGCAGTTTGTGTTTCTTGTTCCCAAGAGTTTTATGTAATTTTTGCTTATTGAATAAGGACCTTAGTAAGTATTCAAGCCAGTAGAAAAGATAAAAATTAAAAACCGTATATACCATGCTTGTTCACGCTGTCCAACATTCAATCACCAAGTCGATCTTATCCAATTTCATAATCTAGAAGGGCCTCTTTGAGCCTTTCATCAATGATTATGGGACACCGAAATGGATCTTTTGAACCTTCTTCAAAACTTGTTTCAAAAGCAGAGGTTGACAATAATGGGAAGATATAGAAATTGTTTCTACATACCGTGATTTTGAATAATAGGTTGGATGGATCAACACAACTCTTTTAAAAGAAATTCTAACACATGGTATTAGAATGCCTCATTGCTGTAGATTTATAGAATTTTGTTCATGACTTTTTTGCAATAATTTGAGGGACTGTGATGCATTTGAGGCTTGTGTTAAAATCCTTTGTTGTCTAAGTTTTGGACCTAAGTGTCATAATTATATTTGTATGGGCAGTTTTGTCCATATCATATTTTTTTTAATAAAAATATAAGGCTGAGAGGTGTGTCAGGGGAATTTGATGCTCACATTACTCTGTGGTTCCATGTCCCTCTCTTCTCTCTTTTCTCTTTTCTCTTCTTTTCTCTTTTCTCTCTATATTCTTTGACATGGTATTAGAGCAAGTTCTGAACGAAGTCTTTCGGCTTCCCCTTTCTTTTTTGAATCCTTTATCTTTTCATCTTCCTCTTTCCATTCACATTCGCTTTCTTCCCCTTTTCATTCATCTTCTCTGTTTTTTTTTACCCTTTCCTTTTTTATAAAAAATGGAGAGAGAGAAATCGTGATCTATGGAGATAGAGAAATCGTGATCTTTCCCCTTCTTTCCTTTTTTTAAATCATAAAACCCTAATTTGTGGTGTTTGATGCTGTTATGTTGTTCGTGTGATTTCTCTCCTTAGATCTCGATCTCCAAAGAGATCATGACCTAGTTTCAAGTTGTTGTTATCTATGCTGCTGTGTGCCTACAGAGAGATCGTGACCGAGTTTCAATGTTGGCAGCATGATGATGCTCAGATGTGTTCAATGTGGTGTTGCCCTAATTTGTTCAAGTGTAAGAATGTGAGCAGATCTAAATGATTAGTCTCTCTCTCCTTTTCAAAATTTTCTTAACAATGTATTGGGCTTGTGTGAGTGATTATAATTAGTCAATCATGGTTGTCCTTACCCTCCTTTATCTTTTGATATGCTCATGGATAAGAAATTAAACCTAGAATTCTTAGTCTTCCTGAAACTATGGGGATACAAATCACCTTTGTAAAATTAAGTGAGTCCAATTATATTGTATGGGCTCAATCTGTCAAAGAATGCCTTAGTGCAAGGGGGAAACTGAAATATTTGACTGAGGGCAAACCTAGTAATTCAGATAGTAGTTATGAAGAGTGGATGAGAGAGAATAATATAATCATGACCTGGTTTTGGAGTAGTTGGAACCCCAAATCAGTGCCAATTTGATATTTCTTAATACATCTAAGGAAATTTGGGACACTTTGAAAGAAATATATTCATCAGATAAAAGTACCTCTTGGGTATATGAGCTGTTTGAGAAAATATTTCAATTGCGACAGGGCAATAAGAGTGTGCATGAGTATTATAGTACCCTCAGGGATATGTGGGAAGAGATCAGCCTATATCTAGTGATGTGAAATTATAGAAAAGGCAGGGTGAAGAATCTAGGGTTGTCAAATTTTTATCTGGCCTTAATCCTGAGTACCATTATGTACGTGGACAAATCTTGGCAAGCAGTGAACTCCCATCTCTCATTAACGTTTACTCACGCATTCAACGTATCAGTATATCTGCTTCTTCCTCTCCTTCTCAGTCAAGTATTAGGGATCGATCAACACTGAATACCGTTGTAAAGAGAGGAGATGGAGGCAGAGGCCAGGGGCGTGGTCGTGACTCAAGAAGAGGCTGATGTAGAGGTGATGGTGGTAGGGGTCGAGGAACTCTCAAGTGTGCGCATTGTGGGCATACAAATCATAGAGTTCATAAGTGTTGGGTTAAGGTTGGTAAGCCTGCTTGGGCAAACCCTATTACGTACGCATTTGAGAGTGATGAACCTTATCTGAGTGGACTCAGTGATCACCAACGATAGTTGGATCTTGCTGGTGACTCTGTTGTGCTTTCCAAAGAAGAATATAATAAACTTGTTAAACAAGTACAACAATCTATGGTTCTGTCTT